TCCCAAAACTTTTCCTTTTCTCATTGTGGTATTGCCACAACAGATGAGACCAGCTGAAGTCCTTGAATTGACAGTTGAGTTATAARGGGAAAGAGTTGGCAAGGCAGTACTTGGTAAGAACACACTATTCAGGGATTTGCTTTATCCTTGTTAGAATTTGCAGCCTGTTTTGCCTATTCAGATGCTGCAAATTCTGTTTCTCTTTGGGTTTTGAGAATGGGGTGAATCAGGTATTTAGACAGCATTTATTTTGTTCAAGTTAATGATTTTGAAAACATTTGTTGGTAATTTTAGTTTGAATTTGTGTTACTCATTTATATTGATACTGTGTGTACGTGTATAGCATATGGTTAGGTGCGGTTTGAAAATTGAAAGTATTTTTTAATTAATATTTTAATATATCAAGTAAAATAARGATTTTATATGTTTCCCCAGTGGAGTAAAGTGAATAACACTGGGGTTTTTGTTTGTAGAATACAGTGTAGTCCTCCAGGTATGAAAATATTTGCCAGATTAACAGGAAGAATTGGTTCCCTTTTAAATTTTAGGATAAAGTAGGGAAGTATTTTTATAGACCYACAAAATTTTGAATGTAAAAATAGTCATGGTTTTGGTGTAATGCCCGAAACTACCTCTTAGTATGAGTTTTATTTTWAAAAAAAACTGAGCCAAACTGTGAGTTTGTGGTTGTGTTTCTTTTGTAAAAATACCACAAGTGTGTTGAATTTTGGGCTACTGAGTATCTCATGGACTTCTTCCATGCATAGGTTTTTCAAAAATAAGAATTCCTTAGATGTTGCCAATACTTAATGCTTTTTGTCACAGATTTTCCCGTTCTTTCTCTTGATGTGTGTTACTCACATGTGCACCTGCAGATCTGACCTCTGCTGTCTCAGAGGTGGAGCAGAGCTACCCACTAAAGGTGGTAGATATTTGYGGTGGAAGAAATGCTGTGTTGYATAAGCACAGAATAGCTAATGTTATCTGCTTACATTCAGTATCAAATCCTCTTATCCTTTAACTCTAGGGGTTGTTTGTGTTTTGGCTTCTCTACCTTTTCTTTTTAGCCCCTCTGTTTGTTGTTGGGTTCAGATTCTTTGTTGTGAAGTTCTACTTTGCCCCTTTGTTCCCATTTGATGTTCTCATCCTCTTTCCTTGCTTGGTGGACATAGAYCTGCAGAACCAATGCTTCACTTCTTGATTTTTATGGTGATTTTGGAAAACTGGCTACAGGTGACAGTTACTGGAAATCTGCCCATGTGGGATCTTGGGAGAGGGAAATCAGGAAAACAGGACAAAATGTCTCAAAAAGAGACCATCTCTCCAGTATTAGAGATGAATTAAACCACAGTCCTTCAGCTTCTGAGCAGAGGAACTGAAGTGGCCTGTGGGATGAACATTGTGGGACCATGACCTTATTGTTAATGAATGACTTACCTTATCTCAAGGTAAACTGGAGCCCAAATCCCTCAAAGCCCCTATCAAAATTAGCCAAAATTATCAAAACTCAAAAATTTCCTGAAAATGTAGGGTTTTTTTCTGGCTATTTCTTCTTTGAGCAGAGGACACTGAATGTAGTGGAAGGAGTAATTCAAGAAAATTTCCATCACACGCAAAGCTCCTTTCCTAGCTCTACTCTTTTCTGGTCTCTTTCGTAAATGTAATGGAGYACCCTATTCATTTGTACCAAGCACTATATTCTTTCCTCATCTTGTCTCCTGTTCATCTGTGACCATTTCTTTTCCTTTCTGTCCCTTTTATGTTGTAAATAGTATTTAAATATTATGTAGGAGAGTATAGTCCTAATGCTTACTTGAAATGTCCAATGCAGAGAGGCATCTGCTGTAACGAGCTCTTTAAATTGGGCTAAGAGATTAGACAGGGAGGACAATTCTTGCCACGATTATCTTCTTCAGGGCTAAAAAGTATTAGCATTCCCATGCTTCAGTCCAAATGCACATTCCTGAAGGAGGTATTAGCCAGGTGCAAAAACATAATTTATGAATAAACTGTACCTAGATTTAGATGAATTTCAGATTAATTAATGGAGACTGTGATTCTGCTGAACACTTGTCAGTGTTTTTTGGAATATGCRTATTTGTTTTGTAAGGTTATATTGATTTTGAACACTTAAAATTYTGTTCCACTGGATTTGGAATAACTGCACAGTTTAAAGAGTTGTTAGCTGAAGATRTAACTCAACAGGCAACAGAACATATATAAACCAGTTTGTAGTMACAGTGTCTGCTTTGAATAAGCAGTAGTCTTGCTGCCCAACCACTGCTTTCACAGAATAGGTCTTGTGATAAAATATGTAAGAATGGTTTTGAAGGACAGAGTCTTAGTTCTGGTAATCCTAAATGTTAAGGAAAATAGAGAAAGAATGGCTGTGCCTAGTCTGAGCTGTTGAACATGTTGTAGAGACTGGTACTGCTTGTGGTGAAGAAACAGAAATTCTTTCGGAAAAGGTAGAAAAACGAGTGTAGATTTTTCTTCTGCAATGGTAAACTGGAGCAAGATGGAGGGATGTGGATTGAAATGTTAAAAAGTAAATGGCTGAAACATTMTTTCTGCTGGGATATTCTGAACAAACAGGAGTACGTTGAGATTTCATTTAATTCAAGGAAAAGTGCATTGCATCTTTTCTTGAGTTTTAATTACTGAAGAGTTCCTACTGTTCTTGTGTGAACTGCAGGTCATTCCACAGTTAGTCATGGCAGTTTGCACTTGTTTCCACTGGTGTTTGAATGAGTCATGTCCATGGTACTGTGCAGCTGGAGACAGAAGGGTGGAWCGCCCTTAGGAATGTAGTAGGAGTGTGTGTGTGTGAAGCAGAAGCTGCTGGGGGATAAAATCAGCGGGTCTTTTACTCTAGTTTACAGTACAAATAACATCAGTCTGCACTACATATACTGAAACACACTATGTCCAGCATGCTCAAACTTGCACCTTCGTACTTAAGTAGTGTGTATTTCAAAAATGTACAGAGATGGAGAGATTTCAAAGACACAAATTGAAGTAGGCATTTGATCCCATTTGGTTTCATAGCAGTTCTGTGTCAGCAGCCATGCAACAGCTTTCAGGGTCAGAGTGTGTTTGCATCCCTCCCTTAAATTCCGTTCTGTGACGGAATAAGTACAGAAAGAGCATGAAGCCAATAGTGGGTTCTGCTGCATACTTTCCTCAGCTTGARGTGTTCTGAAAACTTCTCTATTCCAGTGACATCATTCTGTATTAAATASGCTTTTTATCTGAATGTAAGTTGGTATTTCCTGATTATTAGGAAGCCAGAATGTGTAATAAAATCCAATCAGTTTACTGATCAGTTTACTGAGTGAACTCAGTTTACACAGGATTGGTTGACTTATATGCAGACTCCACATAAACCTAACAAGTGCATATGAATACAGCTGTAAAATCAAACTTACTATGAAGGTAAACATCAGCATTACTTGAAAGGTAATAAAATCTGATGAAAGATAAGATTTGGATTATTGGARCAAACCTTCAGTTAAATTGTTTTTGAGAGATAGCAGAACATGCCACTATCTTTCATCTGATCTGTTAGTTATCTAAAACTATTAATTTTTTTTCTGCAGATCATCTAATATAATAAGTGAGAATGTAGGTTCACCATTTTTAAGATTCTCTTTGAGAGGGAAAATGGAAAGGAAAAATCGTGCTTTATGTTTTTCCTAACTTCATGGTACTGTAGATTTCTTTCACTGGGAGCACATGGCATAAGGAAACAAATCATCATTGTTAACAGAGAGCTGAGATTCRGGAGTTAATTTTCTTTGATGTCTTCTAATTATTTGGGCTACCTGCTTAGTCTGGTTTCCTGCTTATAATGTGACAGTTTTGGGGTGGAATCGAATGACAGGAAAAGCAGTAGTTATTCAGTAAAGATTAGTAAAAYCAGTTACTGTACATCAATGAAAGTTACCATTCCTTGAAAACAACTTCAAAAAAAWTGCACAAAGGTGAAAACTTAAATATCAAGTGAAGATGGGGAGAGAGGAGTAGATCTGCTTGGACACAGCTATCTGAGGTGATCAGGGCTCCAACATAAACATCTTTCTATACAATTTCCGGTGAAGTGGGGTTTCATACATTTTATTGTGGGACAGTTTACCAGATAAAAGGTTACAGTACTTGTGAAAATACTCATTACACCATCCATTTCCCAAAGCCAAACATTTTCAAAGCACTTTTGTCATGTGGATGCTGAAAGAAATGTAGGTCACTTCTTTCTCTGCTCACTTCTGCATTTCCTGCTTTATACACCAGTAAACAAGCTTTTTTGTCTTAAAGCATTTCTACCTCTTTCATTTTGCTTTGGCTTCATCTGTCCGAGAGATCATTTGCCTTGTACCAGAAGGTGGGAACAGTGGAGCTTGTAGGAAGGCTGGTCTGCAGGAATGGAGATTGTAAATGCAGACCATAATAAAACACACTCACTGCCAGAGTAAGCAGGTTTGTTCTTTGGGAGTGTGTTGTASATGCAGTGCTGGTAGACTTTCTGTCCTGAAAGATTCCACAGGCAAGTGAAGAACTAAACTTTTTCAGAAACATTTGGTAGCTTAAATGAGAAAACATGAAAGCAAGGAAATAAATGTAAAAGCCATTCAGAGAGCTCTCTTTTAAATTTATTTCAAATATTTTARGTGGCAAGTAAGTATTTCTGACATCTTTTTGAAATATCAAGATTGTTTTTGATTTGCTTAAAATTATACAATTAACTTTATTTCCTAAATTAATTACTATTGGCTCCACTACCTGTACTTGAAGAAGAATATCGTGATTTACATATTTATTAAAAATTTGAAAGTATAGGCCATCAAGCCCTAACACATAGCTTTTAATGGGGATTTTAATGTGATTTAGTAACATACTGCTCATATGAATGCATCTCTTCAGTATCAGGTGATATGTGGACTCACTATTTTTTTGTTTGTTTTTCTGTCTGTCCTTTCTCTCCTGGTATCATTCTCTTACAGAGATCAGAATATTCTGGATCCTACATTGGAATATGTTAAGGTAAGATACTGTTTTTTACCCTTAAAATATTTTATTTGGTGCATACCCAGTARTGACAGAGCATTTCCAGTCATTTGTACGTAGGCAGTGCAGCTCTATATCTTTTGGGACAAAGCAATTATTTATACATGTCAGRGTATTTTCTAAAGCTTTGGTGAAATACTTGTGGGCATTGTACTTTGGGTGTAGGYTGCATTTTTGTACTGGGACTTCTTTAAGTTATATGGTAACTGCCTAGATTCTTGCTTTTGTTAGCAGATTAAAAGAAACTATTTTTGCTTGTGGATTACTGGGGAAGTAAAAAACCACATCTGAAAATATCATAATGATGTCAAATTTAGGTTTACCATTTCAGCACTATACTTACTAAAATTGCAATTAAAAATTAACTTCTGGTCCAAAAAATAATTGGAGTCCTGGAAAAGTTGTGAGTTCTGTTTTCCTTTTGTATCTGATCAGCGTGTGTATTTTGTTAGAGTAAATAAAAAGTACTCTTTTTATTTAGTAGTATTCATATATTCTACTMAAAAATCAATCCCGGCATGGCAATGTAGAGTCTTTGGAAGAAGCCATAGGGATGTGATTCTKTATTGTGAGTCTTTTGTAAGGCTGTAATTTTTACTGAATTAGTACCTTTTAACATATTTTGTTTAAGTGAATGTTATTCCTCAGAATATTGCAAAATTCTGGCTTATWTGTCATGTGTCTCAACAATAGGTTTTTCTAATTGTTGGGCTTTTTTCCCTGTCTTTTTGAAGACTGTTTTCTGAAAAGTGTCAGATAAACTCAGGTTACCCTTAACACAAGATATTCCTATAGCTATTAATGTGGACAACCTGAATTTMTCAGACACTTGAATTTCTGCAGCAGGTTAGAAGTTCAGGTGAGGAGGAGACTGAGGAGAACCAGTTCAACTGGGTTTTGTGCTAGAATTCCCCCTGTGGATGCTCATAGTTGAGGGAAATGGAAATGTGCCCAGGTTAGGGTTCAGGTTGATTGAAGAAGTAAACTAGGAGATGGTAATGCAGTGTTGAGAGGGAATTGACTGAAAGTGTGGCAGAGTCCTCTGCTGGACTTTCTGCCTACAGTTGGGGTAGATGCAGGAATTAGGGTTTTGATGGAGAGAAGGGGAAGAGCAGAACACAAAGGTCCCTGGAAAAGTGKCTGCCCCAGGGTTCTCAGAAGAGCTGCTGGATTTCTTCTCTGAGCAGGTAGTTCAGTGTTACGAGGTCCCTGGCCTCAATCCCAGCCCAAAGTTGGGATTAAAGAGGTAGAAAAGAGAAAAGCCAAAAGCCTTCTCAAGAGTGCTTTGGAAGAGGGGATGCCAGAGGCAACCWAGTGGTGGACATGTTAATTGCTTAATTGTATTTAATTTATTGTGTGTCTTGCACTGTGCTGTACTGAGTATGCTGTTACCTTTTTAACCATGTGACTAAGTAGAAGGCAGAGGTATCATGTGCCAATTCGTCAATATGTGTATCTTGTCGCAGCAAGTTCTATGTTATACATTTGGTTTCAGGTCTTTTCAACTTTTCTAGTAGAAGCTTGCCTTGGACTCTTGTCAATAGCAGTGRTGCTAAGCTTAGTTATTAAAAATCTGATGGTGAGGAACAAAGTCTGAGGAAAAGAGGCTTATGAAGGAGAATACAAGGGTTACCAATTCCTTCTCTTCCCTTCATTTTTCAATTTTTCCTGTCTATATCCCTACCTTTAGTGAACTGTGAGTTTGGATCCTAGTTCAATATATTGAACTATATTTCCGTATACTGAACCATATTATAATAGGAATTCTAGACAAGAAATCTCAGACTACAACTTTGAAAGGAATTGCATTACCTTGAAAGTAATACATGGCACAAATTTAAATTGTGGTAGGATAGTTTGGCTGCTGACAATTCTACCCAMGGTTTACAGTCCCAAGCAAAATGCAGTGTGTCAGGGCCCTGAGGGCACTAATTGCTCTCACGTGTCCTGGCCATSCTCCACCCACAGCCAGTGAGCAAGGGCTGCATCAGGCTGGGCTCTTCAGAGCCTKCCCGAGGTGTTCCGTGGCTGTGCCTTGCCCTGGTCCTGTTTCCCAAGTGCTGTGTGGAAAGCCYGGGGCAGACCTTATACCTGGCCTGTTGCCTCTCTTGCCTGAGGCTCTCCGGAATGTGATAGGACCTGTCGGTGTCATCRCCCTGCTCACCTTGGTTGGGTTTGGGTGCTAGAGGACTGCACCTTGTGGTGAGGGTGTTGCCCTCCCTGTGCTCCCGGATCGCTGTCCCCTGGGGATCAGCCCTGCTCCTGTTGYTTCCTGACACACTAATTGTAGGTGGCTGTGTTGAAAGAATCAAATAGGTGCCATTCTCTTAACTCATCCACTTTATCAGGCTGCACAGTCACACCTATTCTCCTTCAAGACAAGTAGCTAGTTTTAAACTAGCTAGATTTAAAAAGTAATTTCACAGAAAGACTTGGGCGCAGAGCTGACCCTGCAGCTTCACAGCTGCAAATCAGCACTGTTTCTGCAGTGGTGCAACCATGCTACTGGAATTTCTTGTGAGTCGCATAAGAAAGATAATTAATACTTGTTTAGAGAATGCTCCTGCTGGAGAGTGATCAACATCTTTTCAGAACTGGACTGTGCTGTAGAAGGTGGAGAATTCACTTGGGCTTGAGGAAGCATAACATGGTTCAGTGTGCTGGTTTAGGTTGTGTGCTGCTTCACAGTGAGAAGAATATCATCATGTCTGTCACGGCCATAGTGACGACAAGCAGATAGACTGATGGTAAATTTTGAGTACAGCAATTTGCTTTTTGACAAACCTTGCCTTGCTGAAATCTGGTGTCTGAAAGTAATAGAAATAAATCTTTGWATTCAGAAATACTCTGAACCGAGGAAAGGCAAAATAAATTGGGTTTTTCCCACTGTTTTTTCTGCTCAAAGTACAAGAGAGRAAACACTGATTATATAWTTWWTTTTTTTATTAAGAGAATGTTCTCTATAGATTAACTGGTTTTTACTTTTTAATCTAAATTGCATTGCTTGCAAGTTGCAGTTTATTACATCTTGAATATTGATGTATTAGCTCATTCACTATATAAAGAGAGCTAATTATGCAAAAGCAGGTTCTAAGAGGGGGGGGAAAAAAAGTGCTGATTTGCTGAAGTCTGAGTATGCTGAAGTGTCCATATGGCTTCAACTCTTCCTTTGTATTCGTAGTGCTGCTGAAACCATGGTCACAGTTAAATGGCTCTTTCAAAAAAAAAACCTTTTATGGTAGAAGTGAAAACAGGCCAGACTGCTTTGAATCAGGCTGCTACTCAAGTCATGAAAGAGATTTAGGGACACAATAGCACGTTGTACATTCTGTGAGATTTTTACAAGTTTTATGAACCAAATAATAGATCCATTGGTAGTCTCTGCAGGTTTTTCCCATACTCGGAGTCTGCACATCCACAGAAAAGATTCCAGCAGCAGGGAAGAAAAACTCAAGGGCTGGCAGATTTGAGTGTGTCAGAGAACTTTTTGTGAGTCATTTTGATCAAATTCATGTGAACTAAAGATAGCTTTCTGTTCCATTCCTACTCACTATAAATACTTTAGGATCTTTTTATAGGGTGTGCTGTAATCATTGAAGCTATATCAGGGTGAAAAGAATAAAAAGAGATTTCACTCCTTTCATGGACACCTTCAAGCATTTCCTGTGGAAATAATGCTTAATAATTACAGAAATCCATATCACCAGTGAGTTGATAAATATTACTATGGCCTGAGGTTTTGGAGTTGTATTTTATTCCATTAGTGGAAAAATTACAAAATTTATGACTGATTGTCTGCTCAGCATGGTCATGAGGGAAGTTTATATTTAGGTTCAGACTTGAAAAAACTGTTGGTGGTTTAAGGAAGTTACAGCTGCAGAAAGAGTCCCTTATGARGTTCTGCTGAAGGATTCTTGTCTCAGCCCCACAGTATTAATTTTTCTYCTGATTTTTACTCTTCCTTGATTTTGTTTGAAAGCAAACTGTCATAGAAATTACTGTCATTCATCATGGCTTTGGTTAGTGCAACTGAAAATAAAAYTTTGATGACATTCCAGTGTGTTGATCATTATCTATAGCTTTGCAAGATAGGACARTATTTTGTGGGTTTAGTTCAACTTCAGGAAACYTAGATCAGGTTATGAGATTTATTGRTACACAGTTTGTATAGTTAATTGCACAAATTCATTGTACTGTAGGTGCCAATCCAATATATGCATGGGTGTTTGACCCTCACCATTCTGCTGGCTGGGCCAAGAAAAAATTATAGTAAGAGGGTGACCAAAAGTAAAGTTTGTATGTGTATATGTGCATTTAGGAAAGTTGAGAAAGAARATTGTCTCAGCATGACAAGCAKCTACAGTTYGGGAAACAGCTTTTCCTGATGACARTGACATTTCCTCGCAAGCAGCCTTTTTTAGACATGGAAATATATTAGAGAAATCCCCACCTCACTGGAAAAYTTGCCAACTCCAGTGTATTCCTGTTGCTGCTGTGTATCACACTCCTGCAGAGACCTGCCTGTTGAGATGCGAGTTGGGGCCTGTGAGTGCAAAGTTTGTTGGGTTTCTGCGCTGTCTGACAGCATTACATATCAGAACTGGGAGGAATACCTGACTCTAAGGCATCACATGATCAGGACGTTCCTTTTGAGTCTGTAGAGTGGTTTGGGGACTTCTTTTCCATGCTTCTTGCAACTGCAGCAAGGGCAACAAGATCACAGAAGGTGGAATGTGTTTGGTTGAGGACAAAAGGGATATGCCCATGTGGCCGTCTTGGACTTTACACGTGTCTCTCATTGTGGATTTGTCATCCAACTCAAAGATCATCCATGATGTCAGCAATGCTTCTATCAGAGATACTTCCTTTTTTAAATGTTTCTTTACTTAGCAGGAACAGAAACTTCACAAACATCATTCCACTGCAGTTGTCTCTTGTATGTAAGCTGTGTAATTCAGACATATACGATTCTGTTA